GTTTGGTCTTTAACCAGCAAGTACTTCACCAAATCATTTGCCCTCCCTTGCAAAAGGGCCACATCCTGAGGCGGTGGTGCTTCAGGTTCTTGGGAAGACTGGAGATTCACAGTTCTGTGGCGAGCCTTGCCCCTACAGGCCTTAGGTGACCTCAGGGAAAGCAAGGCTCTCCGGGCCCAAGCAGCCAACCAAGTCCTTGATGCCCTGTGGGCCCAAAAGGCTATGGGGCCCCTTGAGGCCCTACGGGCCATTGAGGCCATTAGGACCTTTGAAACTCTTCGGCCACCTGTGGTCCCAGAAGCCTGACTCTGATCACTACTGCCATCTTCTTCCCCATTCAGGTGATTCACCTTTCGAGCTTTCTTAGTCTTGACCTTGGGTCGAGCATCCTGATTCTCCTGAGCCTCAGCAGCTGCATGCTCAGGCTCAGGTTCATCTGTGGGAGCCTGAGAAGCAGAAGCCTCCGTCTCATGGGCCTTTGTTTTAACCTGGTTATCAGCCACACAATTGACTTTTTTGGTCTCAGGGTCAGTATTCTGTATCTTGGTGTCAGCTGCTGGGCTCTTTTTTCCAGCTTTCAGAACCTGGGTATCAGTCTGCTGAATGGTAGGTGAGGCTTGGGTGACAGCTGCCTCCTGAGCTTCTTGGGTCTTTGAGACTCCTGTGGCCATTGGGACTCCTGTGGCCTTTGGGACCCCTGTGGCCTTTGAGAACTCTACGGCCTTTGAAACCCCTAGAACATTTGAGACCTTCAGGCTTCTGACACCTCTGGTGCCTTTGAGGCCTTGGGTGCCTCTGAGACTTCCAAGTTCTGGGTCACTGCCAGTAGAGTCCGCATCACCAAGCTGTTGTCCTCTTCTGAAGTTTCAGCCTGGAAACAGGTTAGACCTGCACCACTCTCACTTGTGTCAGACATGTTTCAAGTTGATTGGCAAGAGCAGAAACCTTGTTCTTGGTCTATAATTTTGTTTCTTAGTGACGTCCTTCCCTGGTTTTGGTATGAGGGTTATGCTTGCAGTCTATAATCAAAAAAAAATCTGTAGTCTAATATGAGTATGACTCTTTAATGTCTTCTCTTCAGCTTCTTGCTTTCAAAGTTGCCTAAGAGATTTTAAGATGCTACTGTTGTTTGTTATTCTCTACCTCAGGCTTTCATTTAATTTTCATCCTGTTTTGTTTGTAACCTCCCTTTCCCTCTCTACAGCCCTGTCCTGCCCGTTACCATATTAAAAAAGAAAACAAAAGACAAACAGGCAAAAAAGTTCAAGGCCTGCTGTTGAGCTGAGTATCTGTGCACATGCGTGGAAGAAGAAGCTACCAGTAGTGAGGGTGAGGGGTGTTCACTCGATCAGGCTTCCCCTCTGGTCACCAGAATGGAGTTGGGGAAATAGTGGGCACACCAATGACCTGATACCAAAAAAAAAAAAAAAAATCAGAACAAAGCAAAACTGACCAAGTGTATTGTCCACCTTTTCCCCAAGTGTCCCGTGGTGTTTTTCTGTGGTGTTTCTGCTCCCCTGCTTGGTCTTGCCATTTGGTCTTGCCCAAGATGTCGGCTCTGGGCCTTTGAGCCCAGCCCAGCAAATTCAAAAGTACGTGATTTTTTACTTCAGCTTCAAGTTCCATAATCTAGAAGCCTTCAAACCTTCAAAATATCCCTATGTCTGTGGTTCTGAGTTTTGGAGTTCTGCCCTGGATCTTCTTTGCCTGATATTCTGTGGTATTGATGATGGTGAACTTCACTGCACCGCCACCTTAGCCACCATCAAGCCCCGCCTCCCAGACTATTTTTAAAGAATAACACTGTAAGGTAAACTGCAACATTTTCAGACAGCACCAGAATATTGAGTACTAAAACATCATGAATAGTACCAGAATATTGTCAGATATAGTGCTTGAAGATGAGCTTCTCAAGTAGGAAGGCACTCAGAATACTATAGGGGAAGTGCTGTATCCTCAAAATAAGAGCTGACCATGATGATGCTAATAGAGTAAAACTTTTGGGACTTTTATTTGCTGATAGGGTGCAATTCAAAACAAGGAGAAACATCTGTAAACATCCATTACTAATCAGAACATGGAACATATAAAGTATGAGCCTAGGAAAATTGGATATTGTCAAAAATTAAATAGAATGCATAAACATTATCCTAGGCATTAGTGAGCTAACATGGACTGGTATTGGCCATTCTGAATCTGACAATCATAAGGTTTACTATTCTGAGAATGAAAAAAAAAAGAAGAGTAATGGCATCACATCTCTGATATGATAAAATCCATATGCCTCAGAGGAAAATATTATTATTCAATTTACACACCAAACATTAAAGCCAGTGATGATGAAATTGAATAATTCTACTAAAGTCTGAAATTGAACAAACATGCCATCAAGATGTATTGGCAATTACTGGTGATTGGAATGCAAAGGCTAGAAATAAAGAGGAAGATCTGTAGTTGGAAAATATGACCTTGGTGAGAGAAATGATGCTATTGCAAGACCAATGATTCATTGCAAATACCTTTTAAAGCAACATAAAAAATGAAGATAGCATGGACCTCACCAGATGGAATGCACAGAAATCAAACTGACTGTTATCTGTGGAAATAAAAGATAGAAAAACTGCATATCATCAGCCAAAACAAAGCCAGGGCAGACTGTGGAGTAGACCACTAATTTCTCATATGCAAGTTAAGGCTGAAGCTGAAGAAAATTTAAAGAAGTACATTAGCGTCAAATATAACCTTGAAAATATCTCATCTGAATTTAGAGATCATCTCAAGAACAGATTAAATGCATCATTAGTCACAAATGAACAAGGAACAGAAGAGTTGTGGGATGACATCAAGAACATCACACAGAAAGAAAACAAAAGGCCATTAAAAAGACAGGAAAAAAAGGAAAGGCCAAAGTGGATGTCAGAAGAGATTTCTGAATCTTGCTGTGCAGCATAGGGATGCCAAACCAAATGGAAGAAATAAAGAGGTGAAAGAGAAGAAAATAAATTTTCACAGGGCACCTCAAGAAGCCAAAGAAAAGTATTATAATGAAAGACCTGTTGTTGTTAGGTGCCATTGAGTCGGTACTGACCCATAGCAACCTTATGCACAGCAGAACGAAACACTGCCCAATCCTGGGCCAACCTCACTATTGTTGCCACGCTTGAGTCCATCAATGCTGCCACTTGGCCAATCTATCTCGTTGGAGGTCTTCCTCTTTTCATCTGACCCTCCACCTTACCAAGCATCATATCCTTCTTCAGCGATTGGTCCCTCTGGACAATATGTCCAAAGTATGAGAGATGAAGTTTGGCCATCTTGGCCTCTAAGGAGCACTCTGGCTGCACTTCTTCCAACACAGATCTGTTGGTTCTTTTGGTAGCCTATGGCACTCTCAATATTCTCCTCCAACACCATAACTCAAAGGCATCAATTCTTCCAAGGTCCAGATCTTTGCACATTTTATTGTAATATTTGGCTTTATCTTCTCGAGCTGATCTTTGAAATTTTCTGTTTAGCTCTTGGACCTCCTCATTTCATCCATTTGCTTTAGCATCTCTATGCTTGAGAGCAAGTTTCAGTGTCTCTTTTGACATCCATTTTGACCTTTTCCTTCTTTCTTGTCTCCTCAATGAATTTTTGCTTTCTTCATGTATGATGTTGTTGATGTCATCCCACAACTTTTCTGGTCTTTGGTCTTTAGTGTCTAATGTATCAAATCTATTCTTCAGATGATCTCTAAATTCAGGTGGGATATATTTAAGGCTCTCGTGGACTTGTTTTCATTTTCTTCAGCTTCAGTTTTAATTGGCATATGAGTAATTGATGGTCTGGTTCCACAGTCTGCCCCTGGCCTTATTTTCACTAATGAAATGAAGAGTTCCACCTTCTCTTTCCGCAGATGTAGTCAATTTGATTTCTATGTAATCCATCTGGCAAGGTCCATGTATATAGTTGTCTGTTATGCTGTCTAAAGAAGGTATTTGAAATTAACAAAGCATTGATTTTGCAGAATTCTATGTGTTCTCCAGCATCATTTCTATCATCAAGGA